CCGTCTATCATGCTATATAAGTAAATGGAAACCTGCACGGAACGACGGGTGCTCAATGACTTTCATACCCATTACTATAACCTTAGCCGACCAGTTATTTTAAGTAAATGATGCATATATATACTACTTCGCACTGTTTGAACGACCGGTGAATGCCCTAACGAAACGCTGCGTTAAAGTTGCCCATATACTATTAGCGTAATTTTGCACGCATGTTCAACGGGTGAACACTAAAGCATATCACTGCGCTTATGTGTCCTATAAAATCTAATATGCACCGTCGGAACGACGTGTAAACATCCTAGCAGATTGTTGCGCTTACAAAGCCTGTATATACAACTTCGTACTATTGGAACGACGGGTGATCAAATGAAAAATTGACGAATAGAAGAGTTACATTGACCTTCATATCCATCTTTACCGCAAGCCAATCTAATTATCTAACGTAAGTTAATGGGTTTACAGGTCAAAAGGCAGACCATGTTCGTCGAAACGACGGGTGATACCCTAACTTTCGAAACGACAGGTACATATTGACCTTCATACACATTACCTTTGATACTCATTAATTACCGAAGTCCATATACGATCAGCGTCAAATTTGTGCACCTATCGGTCGAAACGACGGGAACACCCCTATGTATGTTTTAATAACATAGAACCATGTCCGTCGGATCGACGGGTATACACCCTAGTATTGCAATATTATATACAGCTTTTTATAAAGTAAATGATACCCATGCTTTCGATTCGTTAGTCAAAACATGGGCTCCATGCTCAAATTATACACTAAAAACTGGCAAAAGTAAGCGTAGTTAGCAGGTTAAAGTGGATGCAGTTACAATAAGCAAATCGAGGCAAATGTAATGCATCATACTTATTCAATTACTAGAGTCAACCGGACATTCTACAGTACGAAACGACGGGTTTACATTCACCTTTATACCGATAACTTAACCTTATTAAACCGAATATATAGAAGTAAAGAGATGGGTACAAATATCAAAAAGACGAGTTGGCTTACTGTGTACGTCTGAACGACGAATACATATAATAAATTAATGGTTCAATATACCGACCTTCATTAACTTTCATACTTATCAGCTTACGTAAAGCAACCTGATATCCAAAGGAAAGTGATAAATACAAATACTGGCAGCGCAAAGTATGTGCACCTATCCGTCGAAACGACGGGTGAACACCATTACTTATTTGCATTATCGTAAGCATATTTCTATCTTTGTTATTTCTAATAGGAATTTTGTATGAGGTCTAGCAATCTATTTGGCGGACATCTAGCTATAGAAGTGGGTATCATGACTAAAATTGTAAAGTAAAATCGATATAATAACTCCGTCCATCATGCTATAACAATAATCAAAAAATTTACGAAATGCGTGTACACATTAAAGTATACCCATCACTTGGGTAAAAACCCTGAATGGGACAATATACTATCAGCGTAGGATTCGCTGTATTATTTGTCGGAGCGACGGGCACACACCCTAGCAGCGTCAACTTCACGCAGCGTTCCATCGAAACAATGTGATATTTTGGTAAATAAACTATAATGTGTAGACTTTGCGTACTTCAAGTGTCGAAATGACGGGTGAACACCCTAACTACTCGCTGCGATTTTAAAAATACCTATATATACTACTTCGCACCGTCGAAACGATGGGTACACACCCTAGCTAATTGCGGCGTTTAACATGCCAATATTTGCTACTTCGCAGCGTCAGAACGACGGGTGAACACCATAAAAGAGTGGGTCGATGAAACATGGTGCAATCATTCATCGATTCACTAGCGTGCAGGTATCATCTAAAAATAAATGACTGTATATTAACGCGTTCCAGAAATTTGCTAATGTGTACTCGGTGGAACGACGAGTTTACATATGCCCGAATACACATTGACTTTAATACCTATTAATTTACCTAATAAAACCTGATATTTTAAGCAGAGTGATTGACCAGTATATCCGTCGACACGACGGGTAAATACCCTAGTACTTTATACCTCTCTAAAAGAAGTGTCAAAATGCATTATATGCAATCAAAGGAACCTTCAACCGTAAGCTTTCGGAATGATGTTACAACCGTCGTGTAACCCCGTTACAGTGTATTTCACAAACCCACTCAATACAACGCGGTGTCTCTTTTCTTACGTTCTTTAGTTATGTACTGTTTCATGCAGTAAACGTCTTACCCCACACTCATTGGTACATGGTCTAGATGAAACATTTTAAAAAAAAACAAAATATATCTGACCAAGCATTATTTTTATATTCTGTTGGTAAATTCAAAGAGAATATCCTTTCTCCAAACTAATGATGACAATGCGTAAAACAAAGACGCCACTGACAATCACTGCACTTCATATCGGGCATTGAATCGTCCAAGCGACGACCAGGAGCGCAGCCCAGCAGCTGACGGTTCGATTGATGCCCCTGCTGCAAGTAACGCGCCGTGATGTTCCGGTGCACGTTAAAGTCCATGTGCTGCACCATGCGCTGGTACGACGGTAGCAACGTCATCTTGCCAAACCACGCGCGTAGTAAACTCTCTGTTGCCATTGTTTCCACCTTGGGCATGCGCATGCCGTGCATCACGGCCGGCAGCTTCTCTGACGTGTCCACCCAGTGCTCGAAGCCCGCGCCAACCATGAGGGTCACCTCGTCAGGCTTCAACACGGGTCGCACGCGCCGACCATCACGCGTTTGTATGATGAGACCCGACTCCGCGTAATTTTCACCGCCGGCCGACACCGATTCGAACGTGCGCTTCGTGCCGTCAGTACTAACCTTGTAAAAGGTAGGCGTGGAGAACGCGATGAACATGCCGTGGTCCTCGTGCAGCTCGAGCGTAAAGTCGTTTTCGGACGAAGGATCGGTCTGCGTGCCGGAGAAGTCGCTCATGAGTCTGCGATCGTGGAGAGATGGCGTCTCGTAGACGTGAAAGTGGTCGAGACGGACGGCATCCATTATCATTTTACGACTAGAAACGGGGCGACCGTAGCCGTCTTTCGTTATGAAGTCGGTGGCATCGAGCGTCGTGGCCACACTAAGCACCACCAGCTCGAGAAGCGACGAGAACTTGTTGTAGATGTCCTGATAGCCCGGGCACACCGCATCCGTCGTGGTGGCAGCGGCGTTGGCGGCCAGGCCCGACGGCGCGCTGATGGTGTAGCGCTTCGTGCCGTCCGTGAGCGTCTTGTGAAGCAGGAAATCGGCCTCGGCTTCTTGAGCAGACATGGCGCATGCGGCGGCTGAGTCGAGATAGGAACGGCGTACATGGGCGTAGGACGGAACGTTTGCCAAGCTGATGATACCGTCCTGCTTGAGCGCGTTGAGTACTTCGTTGGGCGTGTTTCCAGTGGAGAGGTTGTCGTAGTCGAAGGTGGATATCTCGAATGCCGGCACTAGCTCTGCAAGGTTCGTGGGTATGATGTTTGACATCAGCATGGCGGCTAGACCGAGGAGCATTTTGGATACTTGGACCATAGGTAGCGGATACTATTTCTTGATGAGTGCACCTTGCAGTCAATGTAAAAGTGAAAAGATAAGATGCTGTTCTGAGTGGAAGGCCATGTGTCCAAGATCTTTCGCCGCATTAACGGTTTGAGGTAGAAACATCTTCAAGCGAACCGTGTTGCATTATAATGGGTGGAGGAGGCTCAAGTTGAACGTGATGCATAGTCACAAGTGCAGGCTTCCCGTCGGAAGTGTGCCACAGTATATTATTGACTGGGACGGCATGTTCGAGTGTATTCTTAATGACAAGAAAAGGGATACAGGTCTACTAAGATCGGGCTCATTAACGTGGATTCTAGATTTGTTTACGCAATGTTAGCCAATTTTTTCGATCTACCGAAGTTCACCTGATCTGTAGAAATTACGGTACAACAGGGAAGGCGTCTACGATGTGTAGACAGCTGCTTTATCAAGTTACGTTGCTGTAAGTAGATTTATTCAAAATAATCTTGTACATGTATGAATCACGCTTCATGATTCAGATTCATAAATGAAATACTCACTTCCTCAACTGAATTATAAATTTTAGAAAATAACTAACTGGGATGAACGAACTCGTATTACCTGAGACATTGATGCGCCTGGAAGAGTTTTTACAGGTGATCAAAAGAAGGCTGAAGTCAATAAATTTATGATTTATGAATCATGAATCTGAATCATCGCGTGATTTAAATTTATTTCACTTACAAATCATGAATCTGTAATAGGAGGCCTTGCTGTAACATGGGCAACTCGTAATATGCGAATATATATTAGCACACTTTATCTATAAGAATTTGTTCTTCAACCACCAGTAAACCCCCCAGTCAATAATAACATACCTTTTTTGGCGAAGCTTGCCGCGCACCTGCACATGTAGTCCAGCTACATAGTACATCCATTAACTCAGATAGTCTTGTCACATTCCAGCTTCCGACACTGATCTCATCGTTCATTCATCTCATATTTGATTGAACGTCATCGATTAATTTATAGGCATGATCAAACCAATCCTTACTCGTAGTACAAACAAAAGTCAGGACGTCGGGAGAGTACTATATTACTTCTAATCATCGTTGTCTCGTAACATTAAATAAGTGGGTATTGCTAGGGCAGAGGGTAGATCGAAAAAATTGGCTAACATTGCGTAAACAAATCTAGAATCCACGTTAATGAGCCCGATCTTAGTAGACCTGTATCCCTTTTCTTGTCATTAAGAATACACTCGAACATGCCGTCCCAGTCAATAATATACTGTGGCACACTTCCGACGGGAAGCCTGCACTTGTGACTATGCATCACGTTCAACTTGAGCCTCCTCCACCCATTATAATGCAACACGGTTCGCTTGAAGATGTTTCTACCTCAAACCGTTAATGCGGCGAAAGATCTTGGACACATGGCCTTCCACTCAGAACAGCATCTTATCTTTTCACTTTTACATTGACTGCAAGGTGCACTCATCAAGAAATAGTATCCGCTACCTATGGTCCAAGTATCCAAAATGCTCCTCGGTCTAGCCGCCATGCTGATGTCAAGCATCATACCCACGAACCTTGCAGAGCTAGTGCCGGCATTCGAGATATCCACCTTCGACTACGACAACCTCTCCACTGGAAACACGCCCAACGAAGTACTCAACGCGCTCAAGCAGGACGGTATCATCAGCTTGGCAAACGTTCCGTCCTACGCCCATGTACGCCGTTCCTATCTCGACTCAGCCGCCGCATGCGCCATGTCTGCTCAAGAAGCCGAGGCCGATTTCCTGCTTCACAAGACGCTCACGGACGGCACGAAGCGCTACACCATCAGCGCGCCGTCGGGCCTGGCCGCCAACGCCGCTGCCACCACGACGGATGCGGTGTGCCCGGGCTATCAGGACATCTACAACAAGTTCTCGTCGCTTCTCGAGCTGGTGGTGCTTAGTGTGGCCACGACGCTCGATGCCACCGACTTCATAACGAAAGACGGCTACGGTCGCCCCGTTTCTAGTCGTAAAATGATAATGGATGCCGTCCGTCTCGACCACTTTCACGTCTACGAGACGCCATCTCTCCACGATCGCAGACTCATGAGCGACTTCTCCGGCACGCAGACCGATCCTTCGTCCGAAAACGACTTTACGCTCGAGCTGCACGAGGACCACGGCATGTTCATCGCGTTCTCCACGCCTACCTTTTACAAGGTTAGTACTGACGGCACGAAGCGCACGTTCGAATCGGTGTCGGCCGGCGGTGAAAATTACGCGGAGTCGGGTCTCATCATACAAACGCGGGATGGTCGGCGCGTGCGACCCGTGTTGAAGCCTGACGAGGTGACCCTCATGGTTGGCGCGGGCTTCGAGCACTGGGTGGACACGTCAGAGAAGCTGCCGGCCGTGATGCACGGCATGCGCATGCCCAAGGTGGAAACAATGGCGACAGAGAGTTTACTACGCGCGTGGTTTGGCAAGATGACGTTGCTACCGTCGTACCAGCGCATGGTGCAGCACATGGACTTTAACGTGCATGTGAACATCACGGCGGAATACGTGCGGCAGGGGCATCAATCGAACCGTCAGCTGCTGGGCTGCGCTTCTGGTCGTCACTTGGTCGCTTCGGCAGATGAAAAATGTAGCTACAGAGAATGCTCGCTAAAGCCGAACGCAAAAGTACCTGACGGAGGCTGCCAAACGGTTTGCAACCGAAACCACGAGACCGACGCGAGTGATTGTAGTGCTAGCTGTGACTGCCAAGTAAGTCTCAATAGCGCAAGCATATGCTGGATGCTCTGTGTCTTGGACCTGGACTCAAACTCATGCAGCCAACAGTCGTGTTCGGGTCAGGCAAGGGTTTGTGATTCGCCGTCGGCTCTTCCTGCACCAGCTCCTGCACCAGCTCCTGCACCAGCTCCTGCACCAGCTCTTGCACCAAATGTCACTCTCTCATCTGATACTGTCCCCTCTCCAATGATTTCGCCTCATCCTCAATCTAACGTTGCGACTCCTTCGTCAAGCACGTCGGTCTCTACGCTGGGCTCTACTAATTTGCCTTTGTCCAGTGAGACACCTCTTCACGATGCGTGCTAGAAAAGTATAAAAAATAATATTTATTATTGAACAAGTATCTATTTTTTCCGTATTTTCTACTAAATCATGTCAAGACATCCGATAAAAAACCGCATTTGGCAACTTTCCATTTTATATGTTTTTTCCCATCAATTAAGTCCCTATTTTTTAGCTCACGGATTAAATGAAATGAGTGGTAAGAATGTATGTCCCTAGTATTTTAAACCTTTTTAATCGTTAGTTTCCTGTATGATAGGCACCCACAAAGCGATCGAGTTATTTAGCAGTAGTGACGTGTCCTCGTCCAGCGACTCGGGGCCACGTGGCCCACTCCAACGAAGACAAGACAGTTCTAGCAGCAGCGAGGAAAAGGCGCATTTTAAAGCCTCCAAACGTCACCGGAAGCGCTCCTTACATGATATAAGAATAAAAAGGAAACGTAGGAAGACCAAGAAAGAGTCTAGTGAAAGTGAGAGCGGTCAGGAGAGCCAAAGCAACGAGGAATACGAGATGAGAGTCGAGCAACTTACTCGCCCTCGTTATCCGATTTTGAAACCGACTAAAGTTGCAGCAGCGACATCTTATGTTGCCCCAATAAATCGACCAAGACATAATCGAGAGACGCAGGAGATCACGGAAGGGATGAACTTCTATGAATTACAAGCCCAAGAGCAAATGATGGCGCGCTTTCGAGCACAAAAGCGTAGAAAAGTACCGGTGACCCAGAGACCGGAGCCACGTTCACCCGCAATAGCTCATGTTTTTAGTGAAGATGCCAACCAGGTGTCGGGCAAGGCAAGTCAATTGATAGAGAAACTGAGCGGTAATGCGTCACACGGAAAAAAGCGAAGAAAGAAACAGGTTCACACTCAAAAAGTTCAAAAATCGGTTCACTTAGAACGCGTATCGAAGAAACGACATGACGGCGAGAGCGAAAAATACGAGGAGAGTGAGGAAGAGGAATGGCACAGATTTACGGAAAAATCAGCGCAACGGGAATATTTGCGGAAGCAGAAGCATAATTTGCAAAGTGTGGATGCAGGGATGGTGGGAAACAACCTGGAAAAAGTGTACAAGGAGGTATCTCGAAAAAGTAGTGATCCTCCCAAGCCAGGTCGTAAGCAGCGAGTAGCTCGAAAAATAGCTTGTACTAAGCAGCCTGCTCTGCAAACTGCGAAACGCAAAATAAGACAGCGAGTCGGGCCACTAACGCCACGAAATAGTTTAAGTGAAGTGGAGAGTGAACAGGGGAGTGAAGAGCAAAGCGAAGAGGAAAGCGAAGACGACGAGGTTGAGCTGGTCACACTGCCGGTGCCCCGGCGTCAAGAAACGGTAAAGTTGCGCAAGAAAGCCACCTCTAAACGGTCCGTGTCGGATTTTTCAAAACAGCGATTAGATGGAAAATTGCTAGCTGCTTTGCAGTCCCAAAGTAATGATCCACAAGCTTCCTCGAGAGCTGTTTTTCGTGGCACAAGTGAAACGCAACATTTGGCCGAAACAATGTCTTTACGGGAGCTGCAAGAGCAGGAAAAGCTGTTATTATTTTTTCATGTGCAGAAGAAGCGTAATTTATCTGGTGTGGCGTCAACAGTGCGGAAGGGTGAGTATAATGCACACATCACAAACACCAAAGCCAAGACGAATAGTAGCGGTCGTCGAGCTCGAATGGGAGTCAACCAGCAGGAAACTCCCGACACTCCCTCGTCATTTAAATATATCGCTCCAACCTCTCGAAACGGAATCTTGGAATCAAGTGCTGCATTTGTCTCCGCTGCTGGATGCACAGCAACAAGTGTGGAAAAGCTTACGAATCCAGTGATACATTCGACAGCCTGGCGACGGCTGTTTTTCGAAGAGGCACCACCAAACATTTTAGACGGCGTATCGATTACTCCGTATATCTTTGGTACACGATGCACGGTTCGCCAATGCGGGCTTACCTGATGGATGAACTGACAATTGTTGCTCTGTAGAATCGGATCGACCACTCTGGACATATGACACAACGGGAGAGCTTAAGGAGAAGATTGAATTTGTAGAGGTAAACCCCCTAGGCGTTGTCATTACAGATGATAAGTCTGAGAATCAGGTAAGCAAGCTGATTCTCCAGGCGTCTCAGATATGCTCAAGTACATTGAAATTAGAAGCTGTTGATTATGTGCTGTGCTGTGTTCGTAGCCGCCAGGTCAGTCAGAGGTCAATAAACGCGTGCGGGCGTTGGTGGAGCAGGAGTTGCCACAAATCAAAACGTGCCATGCACGCAGAGTGCGCCATACTTTAAAAGAAATGCGAAAGCAACTATCCGAATATTTAAAAGCCCATCAAGTGCTGCGTGGTGAACGGTACAGGCGTCTCCGGTGGTCGGAAATAGCAAGTACGTTTTAGTCCACATGCAACTCCAGTTGCTTTCTTTTGGTATGATACATTCGACCTGCGCTGACAATCACTTCTCTCTGTCGTGTCTCGTTAAGCAGGCTATCAGTCTTGGTTGAGTGTGTCCCCAACCGAGCGTGTTGCGGCCAAACGAGTGTTGCAAAACCCTTCACATACAGTTCAGTCATACAATTATTTGGTTGGGTACGTGCGCTATTTTGTCCAACGAGACCAAACACTTTTCGGATCTTTGGTGTATCCGGAAACTGTCATTGATCTTCCCAATGACATCACTGCCATTCGTCGGTCTTTTACCATGATAGGTATCCGTAAGAATGCTTTTGTCGAAGATGATCCAATTTTACGGTATGTGCCTTATCTAGGCGATGGAGAGCGTATGGTCATTGACAACGATCTCTACTCAGAAACAACTATAAGTAACGAACGCCGTATTGCAGTGTTTGGGGAGGGCAAAGAGCTGAAAACATTAAACCCTGGCGCTCGAGATGACGAAATAATGGAGTATCTCTTGCGAGTTATTGTTGGAAAATGTGGAGCGTCTGAGAAAGTGTTTCTGGCACTCCAATACGAAGGAGGGTTTAACCGGCCGCGCATAGACTATTGCAGCATGAGAGATCTTGCGAAGACAGAGGAACGTGTAGCAAGACGGATTGTTCAGATAAAGGAAGTGGTTGCGCTTCAGGAACAATTATCCGCAGACGAGTTGGCAAAAATGTCGGTCGCTGAAATGAACGCTTCTAAAGCCCTACGCAAACTTGTGCAGCCGCATTGGTTTCTGCGCAACAAGCCTGAACCCCGATTATTAGCCATCAGACTACAGCCGCCGTTATCATTTTTTGAGTCAAGCTACGCAGATTCTCTAGAGACACTAGGCATACGCGACAGGCCTACATATGAAGGACTAGTTGAGTCGCATCGAGATCTATTATGCCGGCGCTGTTATTCTTACGACTGCTTTGAGCATGGAATTCAGAATCCTCAACGAAGCATTCGTGCGGATCCGATTTATCCGATGGTAAGTGTACCAGGGGTTGTGCTTGCCCGACAAGAAGTAGTGATTCAAGAAAGAGATATGGGTGCTGAAGATGGCAGTCTGGATTCCTTAACGTCACCTGTGGAGGTTGTCGAGCTGATAGGCAGCTCGTCCTCTGACGAGGAGGAGAGGAAAGGCCAGCAATCACCTGTGGATCAGTCTGCTTCGCAATCTACTACCTTATATCGTAGGTCCAGGCGAGCACATACTCGAATTAGCTCGTTAGCAAGCAAAAGTCTTCAAACTCAAGAAAAGATGCTAGAAACAGAACGACTCGCTGAGCTGGAGAAGCGGAAAAAGCGCCGTGAGAAGTTTGCGCGGGCGGCAGATAAGTCAGAGTATCTGGACAAATCATACCTTCCCGCTGTCACAGCTACAATTAAAAAGCTGATGTCTAAGATAACGTCGTGCGGTCCTTCCTGTTGGCTGTGTGCTGGTGATACGGATTTAAGCAAAGTCTACGCACCTCTGAGGCAGGTAGATTCTGTACTAGTTCAAAAACTTGCATCTACGCTTGGACCAAATGCTTGTATGATTTCAGCAATGCTGAAGAGTCCAAAGTGCACGTGCGCACAGATCTCTAGGTTTTTGGCTGGGGAGAAAATGCGAAGAGATAGCGGAGACAATTTGGAAGCAGAAAATGAATCGTTAGTACCAACAGAAAGGCAGCGAGAAGGCCGACGAAGTGCCGGAGTGGGTTCGAACAGGTCTCTGGCGAAGCGTATTCGTGAACAGCGCAGCTACGACCGCGAGAAAAGATTGAGCTATGAACCATGCAATCACGCTGGGGTATGTGATGAAACATGTGAGTGCACTAAGCGAGGTCACTCCTGTAACAAGGCTTGCTCCTGTCCGCGCGACTGCCCTAATCGATTCCAGGGATGCAAGTGCACAACTGGCAACTGCCACACTTCGGCATGCCCGTGCTGGAGTGCTGGACGAGAGTGTGATCCTGATTTTTGCTTTAATTGTGGGGCCAGCGACGCAGCTGTGATGACGTTTTACCCTGAATTTAAGTCCCGAAGCAGCTACAATCTCAGCATTTGCCACAATGTGAATATGCTACGCGGCAGTATCCAAAAGAAGATAGGCATCGCTTTTTCCGCCACACACGGATGGGGAGCATATGCACTTGAGCCAATTCGAAAGGATGAATTTGTGTTAGAGTATACCGGTGAGCTGATCACGGACGACGAGGCAGAACGGCGAGGCGCGCTCTACGATCGCAAGTGTGTGAGCTACCTGTTTGGCGTGAATAGCGATTATGTAGTTGACGCGGCAAAGAAAGGCAACAAGGCCAAGTTTGCCAATCATAGAGCGAAACAGGGGGCAAATCTGCATGTGAAGGTTATCGTTTCTAATGGGGAGCATCGGATCGGGCTGTTCGCTCGAGAGGCAATCGAGGTAGGCGCTGAGCTGTTTTTCGATTACGGCTACACACACGACAGCGCTCCGAGGTGGAGTCAGCACGAAAAGCAACAGCCTGAGAAACAGACGTATGACATCGTCGACGACGAGAATGAGTGGGAGTAAGTGGTTGCTTTCTCAGGTGATGGTGATGTCCGTATTAACACTGTCGTGTTGTGTTGTGAATGTTTTCGCGTGTAGACAATGAGAATAATAATGGGGTAAAGGTGGACCATACTGTCCACATGTGAGCGAGGTCATGGTGGTTCAGCTTTGGCTTGTGAAACATTGTGGTTCTATTCATAGCAGGACACTATAGCAGTCAATGCTGGAAAAGCATTTTCCGTCTGTAAAATAGTCTTCATGACACGTAGAGGTGTTCAACTTGGCCATGGCGAAATTCTTGCGCGTATGCACAGAATTTTATGCGCTAGCAGCACTGCGAGGAAACACTTCTACCGTGAATGTCACCGTTCGAGCTCAACAGCTTCTTTACGAACATGATGCAACGGACGTATTTTCATTGACATGTAGTAAGCCATGGATCAGCCGAGCTCGTCCGCGAGGTCCTTAAGCTAGTCGGTCATGGTGACTATCCGCAAAAGGTCAACGTGTCATTAACTGAAAAAGTCATGTGTGTACCGCACCGCTGAACTTGCCTTCCAGAATGCCGTTGACTTTTGCACAGCGGGGCGAGGCCGAACTCCATCTTCAATCGCTACATGTGGCTATACTGGGCAGATGGACGGACAAAGATGGTTTTACATACTCAACAATGTCGAAGCTTTTCACTCGCTGGTGCCCCAGTAAAAGGCCCCGCTGGCTCTCCGAAAGTATTTTTGATCGAGTAAGTTTTGTTGAAGTGCTCGGCAAGTCCTTGGCTTGCTATAGATTATTGTGAATGGAAACAGACCCCCTCGTTTATTAACCGTTATAATTTCCAAGATTTTTAAAAAGCAGGAAAGTGCGTCCACGGAACATGAGGTAGCGGATGTCAAAAACAATTCCTTCTTTGCCAACTCCGAGCGGTCGCTATGAAAGAGCAACGGCAAGATAAGGTCGTGAGCAATAGCGTCTATCTCCGCCTAGCAACGGAAATGTTCCAAGACATTATCGTGACGGAACTGCATAGCCTTTGTAATCAATCAGAGACATTTCGTGGGGTACTACAGTATATTGCGGGACACTTGTAACCATCAAATCATGATTTTAAGCAGCAAATTTGGCCAGAAAAATTGTAAGTTAATTATAGGAGCTTGCCATCTTCGCATCGAATCACGTGACTGTCGCGCACTCGCAGCAGCAAATGATCACCCTCCACGCTCCACTAACACAAAGCGGGTTACCAACGATCTCAGTATCAGTAGAATGCCGCGCCCTACCAAGACAGTAAAAAGGGTGAAGGCCCTCTTCAAACGTTTCGTTGAAAACAAAGCGAGAAATTAGGAGAAATCGGGCGGGAAAATCAAAGGCGAGTTGTAACAGGGTACCTAGTTACACGTAAACATTAAGTAATCTACTTAATGTTTGGTCTAAAAGTATCCATGATTACTTTTGACCAGTCACTTGGGTGCGACACACAAATGTGATCCACCCTCGTGAATGTGATATCCATTGAGGATTCACATGAGAAGGGATGACGCTAGTTGAAGCTAGGCATCACGACGTCTCAGAAGGACGTCAGTTGCGATCTTAAATCTAGATTTAAGATCATGCGACAGGATACGCTTCTAAAGAGTCGCGTATCCGATCTATATATATATATATATATATATAGCCAATCAGTAGTTAAACATATATTTAGTTATAATTAATTAAATATATCTCAGTCTTGAATTTACTTTAACAAGCACACCACGCACGAGAAGTTGAGAAACTTCTGCGTGACGTCGGTGTTGTAAGCGTTAAGAAGTTCGTTGCACTCTCGCTCAAGCGAGAGGCAACTGGTGGTACGACTGCTTAAGCAGTCGACCAATCTCCCAACCACCCTCGCACGCGAAGGTAAGACGGTCTAACCGCTTCCTCGCTTGTGCATAAGGTGTGTGCTCGTAGTACGAGGCAACTTCGTAGAAGTGCCCGTCTACACTTGGTAGCACTAGTAGTCCTTCCCACGACCCGTCTCTCTGAGCGTGCGTGTGGTTGACATGGCCCTTAATATGGACTGGAGTGACTTCCCTCACCTCTCCCAACATCATAGGGAGTTGGCAGAGCATATGGCGCAGGGACTTGGTGAACAAGCCCTGGTCAATCTCTTGCATTGTCCTCCTGAGCAACATGTTGCTCAGTTGGAGCAATTTGAGTCGTTTGTGCTCGGACAGCGTAGAAACGCGTCCGAGGTAAACAGCCAAGCCACCGCTGAGTCCATCACTAAGACTCAGGATGAGCTTAGGCTTGAGCAGGCACGTAATGAGGCGCTCAACAGGACTGTTGAGACGCTCTCTGCCCGGCCTGCTCAACCGAGGCCCATTCGGATGGACCCTCCGAAGTTCGATGGAACTAGCCCTCACACGATTGTTCACTGGCTATTAGCAGTGGAGCAATGTGGAGTGGCGCAGCTCATCGAAGACGACACCAGAATGGTGTCGTATGCCATGTCCGACTTGCGTGGCAAAGCGTCAGAGTGGGCATACTCTGCGCTGATGGCTAATGCTGATGCATTTCCATCATGGGCGATCTTTAAGGCAACGATTCGCGCCATGTATAAGCCGCCTAACAACGAAGTGTTGCTTATGGCGAGCTTCTTTGGAGCACGACAGGCGAAACGCTCTCTGCAAGAGTTTGTGCAGGAGATGCGTTCGCTGTCGGCGTCCATCAATGGGGAACCGATACCAGAGCGTATCAAGGTAGCCACGTTCATGAATGGACTTAGGCATGGCCCATCGCGTCAGGCCCTTTTTAGAAAGGTGCCAGCGACGATGGAAGAGGCAATTGACATTGCCTTAGTTGAGGAGCAATCCTACAACAGCGCCTCGGCGACAGCCTATTACAGGCCGTCGTCCGAGAAGTCTGATGCCACTCCTATGGAGTTAGGCAATGCAGATGTGATCTGCTACAAGTGCGGCAAGCGAGGCCATATGATGGCTCGCTGCTATGCCAAAGTAGCTGCTGGTGCTAAGGCAGCCAGCAAAAAGGCTCCCTACCCGAAGGGAGGTGCGAAAAACCAGCGTGCACGACGCACGGGTTCAGCACCTGCCCAAGATGGGTCGGGAAATGCAGGAGCGCAGTAGGGGCGGGATGCCCTACTGTCGCGGACTCTGAAGCTACCCCTAAGTTCAGAGTGATCGAACAAATGGGTAGCATAGTCCCTGAGGTTCCGAAAGGTCGGACCTCAACCCTTTTGGTCTATAGCGCTCGAGTACGAGGCTATGACCAAGTGATGACCCTTCTCGTGGATTCGGGTGCATCACAAAACTTTGTGAAACTCGCGGCTCTGAAAAGGAGACCGGCTAGTTATGAGTCGCTTTGCCAGGATGGCAAGCGAGAAGAGGCGATCGTTCGTTTAGCGAACGGCGCGCTCGTCAAATCGGAGGGAGTTCAAGTTGAACTCGCCTTCAGTTTCAGTGACTTCTCTTGTAAAGAGAAGTTCACAGTGCTAGGTATGGAGAGTCCGTATGACCTCATCCTAGGCATGCCTTGGTTGGCTAAACACCAACCATGGATAGACTGGCGTACACGCACAGTCGCTAGCTCTACGCAAGACACCGGAAAGGATGTGTTCTTGCGAGAGGCTTATGTGACTGATGCTGTGTCCAACACAGTCGAGGGGGGTATGTCAATCGACACCAGGAACTACCCAGCTCGAAAGGAGTGGTGTAGTTGTGAGTGCACTGGCGGAAAGCCAGGTGACACATATTCCTACCCAGGTCGAAGAGACTGGTGTAGTGAATGGGGCGATGACAGGTAGTCATGCGTCCAATAGTCCTGCACAGAGCCGAGAGCCTTTGGCAGTTGATGGTGGGCTGACAGCAAGTCAAGCGCCACAAGAACCGGCACAGAGCCAAGAGCCTGGTGCGGTTGGAAGGAGTGCGTTAGCTGAGATAGCAACGACACCTTCTTCCAGGTCAAAGGTCGTGGTGACTCGAAGAACGAGCACCAGACGTATTAAGACGATAAAGAGCACATCGAAACGAGTGACCCTTGGATCAGTCTCGGTCCGAGAGGACGGACCTACGAACGAGTTGTTCGAGGCCGTCGAAGACAAAATGCCGGAGGCATCCTCAGTTGAGATGCTCCAACTTGTCTTGGCATCTGCCGAGGAGATAGTAAATCTCTCGGAGATGACGTGGGATCTGTTCCTGTCCGAACTAAAGGAAGGAAAGATCCACGAGATAGTCGCACCAGTTCCAGAAGAGAACGTGGTGGACTGTTGCTCTTCATCCACAATGGATGAGAGCGTCTTGGAGACCGACAAAAAGAAACGGTTCGCTGCTCAAGGCTGGGATGCCTTGAAGGACAGCCCGTTCTATGATGTTCTGTGGAAACACCGTGATGTGTTTCCAGCAGAAGTGCCGAGCCGCCTACCGGCCGATAGGGGCATCAGGCACGAAATTGACCTGGAGCCTGGCACCGAGTATTGTGTGACCAGGCAATGGCCGTTGCCGAAGGAACAAGTCGATTACATCGATGAGTTCTTCGACAAGCGAGCTAAGGCGGGACATGTACGTGAGAGCAAGTGGCCTCACTGCAGCCCGACCTTCTGTGTGCGTAAAGCAACAGGTGGATGGCGCGTGGTTCACGCTTATAATAAGCTGAACACGGCCACCATTCCAGCTCAAACGCCGATCCCGCGGAAAGATGTCTTGTTGAATTCCATGGGAAAGTCAACTATCTTTTCCGCGTTGGATCTGAAGGATGGCTACTATCAGGTTCTCATGAGAGATACCGATGTAGCCAAAACGGCAGTAAGCACCCCAAGCGGTATGCTGTGGGAGTGGCTTGTGATGCCACAAGGGTTGAAAAATGCTCCGGCAACATTCAACCGAGTAGTGGCTCACGTGATGCGTCAGCACCGTGCCTACGCGCCCCATTACTTTGACGATGTATTCGTGCATAGTAGGGCGGAGGACGGTCTGAGCGCGATAGAGTCGCACAAGCGTCATTTAGACGCTGTGTTGCAGACTCTGGGT